TCTTTCCTTTTAATCCCTATTATCTTAAGTATTGTATTCAAAATTATGTTAAGCAGTTTCTTTTGTATCTCAATTTGTTCTTAGGAAAGATAAAAACTCTTACTGGATATAATTATCGACAAATAACCTTTTATTAATACTTTTAGCTAAATAAAGTGAATATTATATTAATTATGGCAATCTAAAAAAACTTGTTCCAACGAATGAGGAAAGAACATTTCAATCATAGTATTGGCAGCTCGGCTTTGCATGCTTTTTTCGTCTTAGTATTAATCATAATACTCGCTGCTTCCTAAATTCGTCTAAGAATTCATCATATCTTGTTTATCTACTAGGAAAGATAAAAAAAATCGTTACTGGATATAATTATTATATATCACACGTTATCACCCTCCATTAAATTTGGTGTCAAATAGCCTTTTATTAGAACTTTTAGCTAAACAAAGTGTATAATACGTTAGTTGAGGCAATCTAAACAAACTTGTTCCAATGAATGGGGTAAAAAAACACAATGTTGCAATCACGGTGTTGGCAGCTCCGCTATTTGCATGCCTTTTCGTCTTAGTATTAACCATAATACTTACTGCCTCCTAATTTCATCTTAGAATTCATCATATCTTATTTAGCTCTTAGGAAAGACAAAAAATCATTAGTGGATATTGTTAGGGATATAGTAGATACACCCTAGATTCAATCTCATATTTGATGATTTGACATATTTTTATGAACGTTATTTGATATAGAATATATATATGGCATTCGATATTCCTTTATCATTGTTATTAATTATTTGATTAATTTGATAAGGTCCTTGATTAAATTTTAAGACTTGACATTCTGATAGATATCATGATAATAAGAGTGAAGTTTCTTGTAATTTAATCTAAATTTGTTCTTGATCATAGGATTATTAATTTGGACATTAGCAATCCGGTTAGATCAATATTTATGTAATCGTCTTTATGGGATAAATATTAGTTGATCTCATTAACTAAATCACATAGATAAATAATACAAATGGAGATATGTTCATTGAACCGACTCACTGGATAATTCCTAATTGTTAGAATTACCATAAAGTCATAAACTGTCAATAGGATACTCTCTTGAAAGAATGTAATGTAAGAGTTTCCTTTGACCTGAGATCGTCAAACTAATTGACAAGTTATTTATTGTGCTTTGATACTAGACACATATGGCCCTAGAGCGACAGTTGAAAGAATATTCTGTATGATTAAAGACTTGTAGAATTAGTGATTGATCAAGGTGGAATATGACAACTCTTGGTAATGAGTTTAAGCTCCATGTTTTCATAAATTATAAATGTCCAAACTAATACCTTGTCTAGAGCAATTGAATGAAAGAAGAAAAGAATTTCTTAGGTCATTCAATAGTCAATTAGATTTGACACGATGCATAGTTGGTCGCCTATTAGGATTTGTCAGTTGAACCATATCTTAGGGTGACTCAGAGCTATAAAGACAGAAGGAAATATTATATTATTCTTCTACGGGTTCTTGAGAGTAAGTAGTATACTTCATGCTATCCGGTTGCTAAGGAGTGTTGCTAGACGCCACCCCTAATTAGTATATTAATCTGGTTAATTTACTATCGGTTTAGTATTGAACCTACGAGGTCGCACACTAACGAGTGTTATGATTTTTGCTAAAGGATTAATTAATTTATTATTTGACAATTAAATTATAGAATTTAATTGGTTAAATAAATAAGTTTTAATCCAAATAGAATATTATTATATTCTTTATGAGCACAAATGATATAATTAATATTGTGAACAAATTAAAGTTTTTTTATTTATAGAAAATTAAGTTGCATCTTGGTTAAAAGTTGTATAAAGGTTGTTAAACTCGTTATTATATTTATATATAAAGGATGTATATTTAATATTAATTTATTCTTACTATCCAATTTTGAATTGGACATGGAATTCCATAAAGGATTTCCTACTATTTGATTAGGACATGAAAATTAGAAGTCCATGAAAGGACGTCCGACAATTCAAACTGTGTTTCCTTGTTTTCGAATAGAAAATTCCAATGTTTGGAATTGGACTTGTGGAAAGTCCATGAAAGTCGGCAGCCACAACGGAATTAGAATTTTCATACAAAATTCCATGAGTTATTTTTTAGAATAAATTTTTACCATAGCTAAATCATTACTCCAACCAAATAGAAAAAAGTTTTATAGATTATGTTATATAAAGGGTAATGAAAAAAATTTGGCGTAGTATTTCTTGAGAAAAAAATCTTTGTAAAAGTGTAAGTTCAATACAAAGCAAAAAGAGAAAATATTATTACAAGAAAGTTATTTCTTGTTCTTCTATTGTTGAATTAGAGATTTTTGAGAAAAAATTTAGCACAAGTTTTACATTCAATTTGTTTGCGGGTTTCATTGATCAAAGCGTTGATAGCAAAGACCGGTCTTGGTGTGGATACACATAAAGTCTTCGCACTATCGGAATTTTTTTGAAACGAAACTCTCTTCTCCAGGTACGTCTTAAATCTGATCTTTGACATGTAAATAAATTTTAAACACAAAATTTTTTTCCTAGGATTGTTATTGTCTTCCGTTGCATGTTATGAACAGTGTTTTAAAAAGCATTTTCGGAGCGACCCCTGGGGCGAAACGAACCAAAAATGCCATAGGCGATGGTGGGGGCGAAAGTCTCAAGAAACGTATGCCCAACACTTCGAGGCGTATGCCCGGACGTTGAGGCTCGTTTTTGAAGTGAGGCATAAGCCCACGAGACTTTTTCTAATTAAAATAAAATTTGCTGAATAAGTCCTTAATTACTCTTTAAAAAGGAACTGAAACATTAAATTTAAAAGTTAAATACCTTTTTTTTTATTGCTAAAAGGCATAACTTATGGTCTTTCCTAATTCTTTATCTTGTCCGCTTATCTGCTACTATTTTCCAAAAGCAACAAATAATCATTTTTTTTGCTAATACAAAGAAAACTCCATTCTTCTCCATAGCAGCAAGTTCAAATTCAAAGTTCAAAGTTCAAATTACGGGTAAGTCATCTTTTTTGTTTCTCAATGTATAAAATTTTATTCTTTTCAAGTCAAATTATTTGTGCTTGTAAGTAGTGGATAATGAATTATTTTGACTAGTTTTTTCTGGGAACGAAGGAAATATTGTTATCAATAATTTTGTTTGTTTTTTGAAATTTTTTTAAATCTTGAACAACAATTTGATAACTAGATATCTAATGGGTTTAATTTTGGAAGAAGGAAAGAGGGAAGTGTTGGTGGGATCGGCGAATATTCCAGTAGTGGAAGAAAACTGCATTTGCAGATCTCGGTTTCCTCAGTCCTCTCACTCCCTCAATTTACGTACGCTTTATAATGTTAGTCTTTATATTTTCTTTGTTAATATTCTTTTTTTGACTTGATTTTCGTGATTTTTTGAAAACTTGGGTATTGATTGATGGTTTCTTGTTTTGTTTGCAGATATTTATGTCCGGAGCCTTATCGTGAAGAGAATTTAGAGTTTCTTAGAATTAATAATATCAACCTTTTCCAATTCCGAATAGATGGTACTAAGGTATTAGTCTTTTCTTGTTTTCTATAATTTGGAAATTTTTCTTTTAGCTGCCTTTTGATATTTATTTATTTTGTGTATTATTCAATATCATAAAAAATTATGTAAAAAGTATACGGGCCCCTTATTTGGTCGTCTCCATTTAACCTGTGCTTACTTTTTAAAACTATCATCCAAAATTTAAACAACTTCAGGCATTTCTGCTCTTTCTTTTCTTCTTGTGACAATAATTTTATATGGTATTTTGTGAACACATTTGAAGGTAGTTTATGATGTTTTACTGTAGTCAACTGTTGTGACGCTTTATTTTTTTTACTATTGCTTAGGATTTCTTCTTCTTCTCTTTCTTAATTGCAAAATGGGTTCCTTAGATTTATTATTTTTTTGGACAAATTAATGATTGAGGTTTGTTCTTGATGATATTTTGGAGGTCGTGTTTCAAATTTGAGCACATTTGGAGTAGATTTAGGTGTTAAATCGTATATTGGATTGTTAAAATTTGAAGAACAAATTTCTGTTTCTGGGAAATATGTATTTCTGTCCTATTCGGTCTTAAGTGCATAAAAATTTTGGTTGCACTTTAGGTGCATTGAAGTGAACTTTAGACTTTTTGGCCTTAAGTGCCTAAAAACGTTGTTGCACTTCAGGTGCATATGAAGTGCATATTTTTCACTTTAGACTTTTTGGCCTTAAGTGCATGAAACCATTGGCTATACTCCAAAACTATTTGGCCTTAAGTACACTGAACTGCAATTTATTTGGGTTTTTTTTTTTTGGATATGTAGATTAAATGCTATGATTAGATTACCTTGGTGATGTTATTGTTTGTTTGTTGCGTCATTTTCGCTATTCTTGAGCCGAAGGTCTATCAGAAACAGTTTATGTATCTTCATAAGATATGGGTAAGGTCTGCGTACACATTACCTTCCCAGACCCCACTTATGTAATTTCACTGGGTTTCTTCTTGTTATTTTCTGGGGATGGAGCGCGCGCGCATACACATATAAATAAGTAATATATATATTTATATTACTTATTTATAGTTTCTTCAATTTTTACGCAAGTTTACCTATTTAAATATATTTACTGTAATTATATTATTTTATAAAATATTAAAAATTAAATATTCATGGCGTATTACACGCCTCACCGAGACACATGTCCTTAACTAGCGTTTTGTTGTCAAAAGAAACTTTTATTAGCACTTTAAGCTAAACAAAGAGTGAAGATTATATTAATTGTCTAAACAAACTTGTTTCAATGAATGAGGAAATAAAAACAATGTTTCAATCGGGGGGGGGGGGGGGCAGCTCGGCGATTATAAATAGAGGGGCTTAAATGCATGATTTTTCATTAGCATTACGTAAAACACTCACTTTTGCATTAAGCAAAACACTCACTTCCTCTAACTGTCATCACAACATCTAGCAAAAAAATGTCTTTGCTACCTGCTTTGTCCATGTCATTTATACAGATTGGATATGCGGGTATGAACCTGCTAACCAAAATGGCTATGAACACAGGCATGAACCCCTTCGTGCATGTGGCATATAGGCAGACATTTGCGGCACTGATAATGTGCCCTATTGCATATTTCAGTGAAAGGCATAGTAGACCTGCCATGACGAGGTCAATACTTCTAAAAATTTTCATGTGTTCGATTTTTGGGGGGTCAATTAACCAAATTACGTATATCGTTGGCCTACAAAATTGCAACACTACGGTTGCATCTGCTTTGACGAACTTAATGCCAGCATTTACGTTTGTTCTTGCTGTCATTACCGGACACGAAAAGGTCCGATTTACAAGAGTAGGGATAGCCAAAATGATGGGAACGGTATTGAGTATAGGAGGTGCGATGATGCTATCGATTTACCATGGTCCAAGACTCCCCATTGGCCAACCAAAGATTAATTGGAAACTCTTAGAAGGTATTGCGCACCACAGCAGCAGCGGCACCAACTACTTAGGCCCTCTGCTCGTCATAACCAGTGCCCTCTCTTGGTCGATATGGTCCATAATCCAAGCAAGAGTAAACCAAGAGTATGCAGCTACCTATTCAAGCACAGCGTTGATGTGCTTCATGGCTAGCTGTATATGTTTGGTATTTGGGTTCTGCTTTGACCATGACCTATCCGACTGGTCATTGAACAGTGGCGTGAGAGCTATCTCCACCATATATTCTGGAGTTTTCTGCTCAGCTCTTTCATATTTCGTGATGAGTTGGTGCATCCAGAGGGAGGGGCCTTTTTTTGTGTCAATTTTCAATCCTTTACCGATTATTGTAGTTGCCGCACTCAGCTGGCTTCTACTTGGAGAAGAGATATTCACGGGAACTATCGTGGGTTCAATGTTGATCGTTTTGGGATTGTTTATGGTGTTGTGGGGAAACTGGGTGGAGTCAAAGCGAGCAAGGACAATAATAAACTCGGAGCAAGATATGGCTGTGGAAGATTTGGAGTCCCAGCAACAAAAATGACACTTAGATTTTATCAGCACTTTTTATGTTTCTGCTTTCCTTGATACTATATGGAGTCTCATTTATGTTGTTTAATTAAAAGTTGGTTGGTTCCTATTTTGTTTTAAATGTTGTGCTAACACCCTGCGTTGCACTTTATAAGCATAGTGAGTTATTTCATTACTTAGGTGTGTTTGGTAGGAACGAAAAAATATTTTTCAGAAAATGTTTTCTAATTTTCTTATGTTTGGTTGGTTTAAATATTTTGAAAAATATTTTCCTCATGAACTCATTTAATTTCTTCCAATTGAAGGAAAATATTTTTCGGAGAAGGGAAAATATTTTTCAAATTTTTTTTTCAACCTTTCCCACCCTATTCCCCATCCCCCACACACCTCC